CGCAGAGAAGTGTGAGCAGAAGAAAGCAGTTTAGGGTTTAAATGGAAACTTAGTACCAAATCCAAAGTTGCTGGCGAGTCATTTTAGCAAAAATATGTATCTTCGTCTGCTATTTATAATTTTTTCCTATCTCTGGTAAATCTATGTAAGTCATATAACTGGACACCAGAGAAAAGATCGAATACAAACCAGGAACTTACTGACAAAGGCTTAAAATCACAGACCTCTAAGCCATAAAATGATAAAAGGTTAAATAGTTAACCAAACTTTCTCCTCCCACCAGCACTAAACGTGGAAAAAAAAAAAAAGACCTTTTATTTACCCCACTATGTTCTTTCAACTACATTTGACCCTGTTGTTTTGGTTCACTCTGAGCTCCACCATGCCTTGAATTGCTTTGACTGAAGATCTTTTTTTTTTTCTTCTCTGTTCAAAATGGCCAAATTAGACAGTGAGGATAAAAATAAAAGGACCACTGGCTTCTCATATTACTAGCGTCTCCTATTTTCACGGCAGCAAAAACAGTCTGCTTCTGAGGAAGAGGAGAGCGCTACGGTTCTTTGACTTAATAAGGGAATTTTTGAAGAGATTTAAATAATGGCTCAGGGTGACAAGGGCTGCTGCTTCCTACTAATGGCAATAGGCTGCTTCTCTCGGGCAGCCTGTGTGTGTGTGTTTGCTATCATCCAAGGTTAATTGGTGTCCTGTCTTGGGGAGCTTCAACATACGTGACATACAGTCGAGAGTTTGCTCTCTTCCTTACAGCATGGATAACTCTGAATAACTCGTCATGTCCATAAAGCATTCCCGAGCTGAGCTGTGCCTCGTTTTGCTTTTACCATTCGCAAAGTTTCTGGCTCTTTGGGATGCTTTCTGCTGCTCAAACAAACCCGCAGCACTGCAGGGCAATGGAGAAGCGCTCTGTTTGGCTGTGATGCGTTTGCTTTGCCACATTCACCAAAGGAAGGTGTAGTTAAGATAACAATTCATTCTCCTCTTTTCCTAAATATAAAGATATATATATAAACATAGACACAAAGTATAAACAGTTTTGAAGTTTTAATTTCTGTAAGTAAATTTTAAGTGCTTTCATGTAGTTAACTAATGTTGTTTCTACGTTGCATTTTTTAATTCTACAATGCTGCAAAGAGAATTTTTAAGTTTTTGTTTAGCTATACATTTGCTGAAGAGAAGATTTTGCCTTATGTGTTTTTTACAGAATTGCAACTAGCAGCTGCGATAGAAAATTACAACACATTTTAAATAACAAAAACATCCCACAATAAAGATGGAGATTCAATACTATATCGAGACGTTTAGAAAGGACTGAACATAAAATTAGCCTTTTTTAAGATGTGCGCTGAGAAGTAAGAAGAGATTACTTTGGATGTATGACATCGATGTATGATTTGTTTTGGTTTATCGCTGTTGTGTACAAACCAATATGCACCAAGTGTGCTCAGAGCTGTGCAACACAAAGGAAAAACCATAGCTTCTGAGGTCAAGCATCTTCCAGTTCAGGAGTAGGATCAGCCACATATCACCGACAAGCTGTCCTGGAGCTCCCCATGCTAAATTCTGTCTTAAGTAGCAAATATATAAAGCCCCCAAATCTGTGTATAGTCAGACCCATGGTGGTGGCCTCTGGAGAAAAGTTGAGCTTTGAGGAGATTCTTTATGTCACTGCAAAACCACTCTTGCCCCTTCCAGTTCTCCCCTCCGGCTCACCATCAGGCACTTCCCTTCCTACTAATTCTGCCCCAACATCGACTCTGCACCTGCCCACGTCTCTATGTACACATACACGAGAATCGATAACAATGTTTGGACAGTATTTCTTTTCTCACTGGACATGCTTTCTCCTCTTTTCTTCCCCACTCCCCTCTTTTTCCTCTGCGCTGATGCCCACACCAGGACACAGGGAGCATCCCCACCACTGAGCTCTCGCAGCTCCCGTCACCGGTCCAGCTGCGTGTGCGTCAGCTAAGTGCTGCAAGGTCAAGATCGAGACCAGGATTTGAAAATTCAGTGCTAATTACTGTGATTACAGTCCGAGTCCCAAACAACCAAAGCCTCCAGAGCAGTTTAGGAGCAGGCTAATGAGTTACATGTAAAATAAGAAACAGGCACTTGATAAAGTCGGAATCAATAAAGTGCCATTCCTGCCTGTTAACTGACCTTGCTGTAACACAAAGCCACTATGTTCACCAGAGCCTATGCAGGTTAGATATCCATATCTGCACAGTGTGAGAGAAAAGGAAAATGGTACAGGCCTTAAAATTAGTTCTGATTTACATCCGAGCTAAAATAAAATTACACTAAAGATGTGCCTGAGAAGATTCAGCAGAAGGAAATGAATTGAGTGTCAATACGCTGGTGCTGCAGAAGTCACGAGAAAGAAGAAATTTGCTACTCACTTTGGGTCTTTCAGATTTTCTGATTTTTTATGACAAATTGTCTTCTTTTTAGTTTCAGTTGTGGTGGGGATATTTTACAAACTGAGGTTCCTTTCATACTTTTGAGATTTTTTCACTAAATAGGCCATATTTTATTGATTTGCAATTTACGGCAGTCTATGCTTAGCCAAAGCACAAACAGCTCGACAATTCCTGTACTTAGAAATGTATGTAAATTATGCTACTAAATAAAGCACGGACATTTTTACTACTTACGAAAAACAAAACAATATTGCAGTCTTCTCTGCACTTTGAGATTGCTCCTGTAAACCCACTCGAGCATGTGCTTAGCCCAGAGAAATCAAAAGGACCAGTCAAACACTTAAAATTAACCATGTGCTTAAGTGCCTGCAGGACTGGCTATTAATTTTGGATTATGAAACTGTTCCATTTCCATGTGTTCTTAGGCTATACGTAGGTCGACCTGCTATTTTCAGGTTTTGGCACAGAGACTTGTGCAGAATTGAGACTCAGACACATGCAGATGCAAACCAGCTGGTGAGTATCTTTTAAACAATATAAAGATGCTCGATCTCAGCTGAGGAAAAAAAAAACACCCTGCATGATATTTTCAGAATAAGATGAAAAGCATAAATATTATTTATATTTAGTCAGGCATCATTTTGCAGAAGAATTATTTTGCATTAAACTGAACTGATTCAGAATGGTTTCTCTGCCAAATAACTGAGCAGTGAAGAATAATTTAGCAACCAATTAGTAAATACAAAACTGCTGAAGAACAGAACTATAAAACTAAAATGCACCGCAATTACTTTTGAAAAAAAAAATTGTAATTACATCAAAGCTGATGTAATATGACAGAATAAAGAACAAACGCACAATGCTATTAGTTCAACAGCAAGTGTAGCAACACTAATTGAGAAACAACTGCTCTTTGCTTTTGAATCTCAGTCTGGTGGAAATTTTAAACTATTTCCTAAACGGACGATAAAGAAGAATACTTGTGAATCCCGCAGTGCCCCAGGCAACACTTAACTTTAGAAACGTCTACAGGCAGAAATACTACCCTGCAATACGGCTAGGATGGCACAAACAAGCATCTGTGTTTATTTTTTAACTAGTCAGATTTATAAGAGCAATGAAATCCTTACATAAGCATTTTATATTGACCTGATATGGACTTACTGTTTTAACCAGCTTTTTAACTAACTCCACAAGTTAATAAAGGCAACTACATGAATCCTTACTGCCTATACATTAAGATAAGAAAAACATTCATTAAGCAACATCCAGACTGTTTTAATTACAGGAATATCACTCTTATTTGTAGTATAATGTTCGTTAAGTACAGTATAACATTTTCTTAAAATGCCCCAGAGGCAGTTAAACTCTTGATTAGCTATAAAAAAAAAAACTCCCTTAACTTCAATCACAGAAGTTAATGCCTACTGCAATGAAATTCCAGTACTTTTAATCATCCAAAAATGTCATATGTAAATCTTATTAACCGTGAAAACATTATATAAGATCAAATGAATTTGCTATGCCGCTATCACTATTCAACGTTAACAAAATGTAGGAATCTTTCTATGGCAGTTGTGGTAATAACAGCAATAAACCCACTCTTATTTCCTTTGAGAACGAAATTAGCTGAAAAACAAATCTTAATTTATTAATTTCAAAAGATAGCAGGGAACGTCCCAAAATTTGGATTTCTGTACTTTCATGCCTTTAACTATGTCCCTGTTCAATTATCTAAAGAACATACAAGACTACAAGCAGATTATGGAGACTGCCAAACTTTCTTGATGTCTGGTAAATAAACACACAGCAAAGATTTATTATCTAATACCTTTTCTTTTTCTCCTGCCTTTTTGGTATGTTACAAGAATTAACAATATTACTGCTTTTGTATAGATGATAATGGAACATTTACATTTTCTTCAGCATTTATCCTGCATCTGCCCATTATTCCATATGCCTCTTGAAAAAAACTATTCTTTTTTTATTAGCTAACAATACCAAAAGAATTCAAAAAATTGTGAATAACATTACACCAAATCATGAGACTGCATTAAAAATTGCAACATTTTTAAAGTGCACAATGAAATATTATTTTCTGGTTCTTGTGTCCCTGGCTTCATATTTTCAAGCTTTTCCTTGCAACAGTCGAAGCCAGATGTTTTCTTTAAAAGTAAAAAAAAAACCCAACAATAATTAATGTTGAGATTTTAGGAAGCTGCGCTTAAAGGAAATACCAAATATTGTGAATTAATGATAAAAAGGTGATAGTTGTCAACTCATAGAATCATAGAATTCATTCTGATCTTCCACAGAGGCAGCTGAAGGGTATCTTTATTACATGGAAACAGGCACGCCAATCCCTAACTCAGCAGTGGCCTTACAAAATCATCTCCTTGGCAAGGTCAGTAAACTTAAAACGGCAATTTTAGTGCCCACCAGCCTTTTCAGGCTCAGCACCCCTCTAGCCACGGAGTTCCACTGCCATCACCCTCCTCCTGACTCAGGTGGTTCATTAAGTGCCTTGAGGAGGTGAGCACACTTGGAAAAGACAAACCTCACCTGAAGGCGCCCATGGTGGGGAACTAATGTAGAGAAACATATTGGTCATATCAACACAGCCTGGCTTCCCAAGGGTAAGCATTACTGTGTAGGCAAGCTCGAAGACCATAAAGGTGCCAGACCTATCAGGGTAGATAATATGAATGTATGTGATGGAGGAAAAAACGTTGGCTAAGGGTCATATTTTAATATTAAACGCAGAAGCCTGCTATAGAAAAAAACATTTCTAAGTTACTTTTACAATTATTTCTAAAAATTTTCACAGAACTCTTCAGATTGGCTTTGCCACATCTCAGGAGACTCAGAAACTGGTCATAAAACCATGACTCCCAGCTCCCCTCACCTAATAAGCCCCATCCCATTTGATGGTAAGTCAGTCACTGATATGGGCCCTTTACACAGACTCAAATTTAAAAAAACATCACCATCAAGATGGGAAGAGAGACGAGCTGAAAAGTCAAGTTATTTTCAAAACAATATGATTTTATATTCACTAAAAAAAGTCAAATTATCAGCTAGAAGCCCCTTTTGGGGCACTGACTGCACCTGGCAGGCCTTGCTCTGTGCAAGTGCAAGTGCTCTTATTACATGCTCTGTGGGAGTTTCTTATCTGTATTTCCCAGGTGAGATTACTTGTGTGGTTACGGTTGCTACAGGATATATTTACTATGGCCAGTGAACACACGAGAAAGCCAACTGAAACTTAGGTAAAGCTCAAGAGTCAAAGTTGCCCTCCTCCCCGACAGCCACCTTTCACAGGATGGCCCTTTTCATAGAATCATAGAATCACCGAATGGTTAGGGTTAGAAGGGACCTCAAAGATCATCTAGTTCTAAGCCCCCTGCCATGGGAAGGGAAACCCTCCACTTTTCCCCCAAACACCTCAGTTTTGTTAAATGTGGATATCCTACCTCACTGCATCGCAACATATATTCAATGTCTTTGGTCCCTCTCTCTTAAAAGCAAATTTTAGAAAACAGTCCTGTCTCTGATGGCTGCCTAGTGGGGAGGGAAGAGTTGGACATGGCTGAGAGGGAAGAAAAAGGCAGGAGAAGGGGGTTGTCGAGCTCACAGCTCACTCGGGAGCGCCGCGGAGAAGCAATTCTTCCAGACTGTCCCAGTTTAAGAGTGAGGATTTTTTTCTCTAAATTCTTGACATAGGCTGTTGAATATTTATTTAAAAGTAAGTGAAGAAGAAAAATACACTGCCTCCCTTGCAACCTGCACAAATAAAGAAAATGGCTTTCAGTTCATAATGATGTATAATAAATAAGCCAAAATCCTGGATTACATGAAAATAAAATCTGTAAGGAGAAATAGGATTAGGTCTACTTCCATACAACAGTTTTTATTACATTTAAATGAGCAGCTGTGTTTCTCTAAGCAAGCGTTATAGCACTCCGCATCTGCACAAAACCTGAACAACATACAGGCTCTTTGAACTCACTGATATTCATAGATTCATATATTTCTAGGTTGGAAAAGACCTTATAGATCATCGAGTCCAACCATCCCTAATCCCCATTTATATAACCTTGTGGAAAAAAACTCGCTGTGAAAATACATAGAGGCATCACTTGGTTTTCCTTTAAAAGTCTTCTTTAACAACCTCTGTCATTAATACAGGTTCAGCCTAAAAGAAATTAGATAATTAGATGACATATGTCTTTTATCCTCTACTGGATAATGAGAAAAAATATTCCACTACTGTATCTGACTACTTTTTTGTTTGGGTATCATTTTAGATATACTTTAGTACAAAGGTGAAATAATATCATTGAGACACGTTTTAATTCTGCAGAGCATGTCAGTAAGCTGTACTAATACTAAGAAACAAAGTACCTCTTTCAAATTTGAGATTATATATATGGAATTTGGATGGTTCAAAGTATCAGTTTTAGTCTTACACCGCCCCTTGCTCATCATCATCTGTTTCCTTGCTGATAGGAAGAATCTCATGAATGTTTCAGTTTTTATCTTCCTGAATAACAGTTTAGTTGAGCTAGTGTCTCAGTGATGGTAAGATTTGTTGTCATGAGACTAGCATCAGCTGCACTGGGAAAAAATTGTGGCATATCCACCCTCTTCTCCAGAACACATCCAGCAGGCAAAGTCTTTCCTCCTTTTTTTGGTCATTTGACTTAAAAGGAGAGAATGCAAAATAATAACCTCACTAGCCCTCGGTGCAAGCAGGAACAAAATGTGAGACACTGGTCAGACAGTATAATATCCTCACTCTTAAAGGTAAGGTTTTCTCTTGGCTTGCAACCACAATAGTCAGAACTGAAGTTTTATTTACATGTGTGCATGCTTATGTTTATATATTTATATGCCTGTATATATATCTACATATACTATTTATTTATTTATGCACATATAAATGTGCATATACGTACACATATGTGCATATAAAAAGACTCCATGTGGCATAGCACAACAGTAGCATGTAATGATGGAAAGCGGTAAGAAGAATTATCTTCCATAATCCAGGAAATAATAAAACTGTTTTTTCCACAACTTTTACTCTCAAATATTCCGCGTACTGTCCTGGAATAAGCTGCCTTTTCCTTCATCTCCAGCAATGGCATTAGAGTGGGAATTCTACAATGAAATACAATATCTCCCCAGGACCCCACGTACACTAGACTGAAGATTGTTCCACCATTAGTTATTGATGACAGTACCTTGCTTTTGCGACACTTGTGGTCTTTACATCACACATTTTCCATTCACACGCTGTGGGCATCCTGCATATCTTGCAAGTATAGGTGTGACCCTGAAGATTTATGGCTACTGTAGACTGAAGATGTGTCACTGTGAGACAAAGCAGCTCTGCCCCTAATGTTTCTGCTTCCTATCTTTGCCAAATCCCTGCCCGAACAAAGCAAGAGACCAGGTATTTCACACAAGTGACACTCCTTCCATTTCATCTCTTGGAGCTCAACGTTTTTAGCCATAAAAAGTAAGAGAACAATCTCATATCCTCCTTTCCTTATCCCTGCTCAGATTATTTTGGAGGATAAGGAGGGAATTTAGCAGGTGTTTCATCAATACTCTACCACTATACATTAACAAGTGGGAAGAAAGACAACTTTTTGGTTAAAATAGCAATTTACAGTGGTAGTCAGAGGCACTAAACTGTACCGCAAAAAGAGGATGGGAAATAACTCATTTTATTCTTCCCTTTTGAGGAGTAGCAGGACAAGGGTGGGCATTCCCTCACCATGATGATCTTAAGGGTCTTTTCCAATCTCAGTGATTCTATAAACTGTTTTCCACCTGACTCCCGAGGCTGCACAGTTCCTGTACTCAGGCTGGGCTGTGAAAACCACAGCTGAGCCTTTTGCAAAACAGATTCAAGTCCCCTGTCAAAGCAGTGAAGAGAGGCATGTCCCTGGGAAGACTTCCACCCTCATCTTGCATACCTGAATCTGAATGGATATGTATTTAGGCTGGTTTCTACAGCTTTGGAATAGCTGGAAGGTAATTACCACCACTGCCAGTGCTAGTGCTGTGTTTAAATAATTTCTTTCACTATATATTACAGCAACTGTAATGAGGAAATATTGTTCCATTGCTGGATGTTCCTGATGGTCTACAAGATAAGCTCTGGCACTCAGCATGGTCAAAGTAAAAAACCAAACAACTGATGCAATCTGGCCTGAAACCCTGCTTTTCCTTTCAACAAATACAGTTATATTTTGAGGTCTTTAAAAGATATGTTGCCAGATATAATGTAAATTGTTTTCCTACCATGATAACAGTCATGCCTGCTAACCTGAGCATTTCAAGAACGTTGCCAGATTTTGATCCACAAAAAGGATATTATAAATATGAGTAGGTACATTTATTCATGCCTCAGGGGCTTATATGAGTTTGAAAAATAAATAACCAGTAGTTAAGTTTTATGTGATTTTTGATAAACTAGTCCTAAAATATTCTGGTTTATTTTCTGATCTTTGCAAAAATGCTGCCTATTATGAAGAAAGCAAATAGAGGACAGGTTCTAGACCAGGATGGATTGTATTCTAGAGAAATGATGATACAAGAGCCTAGAGAGATAAATAAGGCTTCAGGTGGCTGCAGTATGTTGATTACGCTGTTACCCAACTAGACATGTATGTCTTGATTAAAAATACACTTTTCTTCCTCTATAGGCCCTTTCTATTGCTTGGAGACCAGCAACTAACAAACCAACATTTAACCCAGCACAAGGAGTACTAGGGTGACTTCGAATGCAGGGAAGATGGGGGACTTTTCTAAGACTACTGAGGGCCACTAAGGAAGAAAATTAAAAAGCATCTACAGGAGGAAGAGAATAAAAGGGTAATTGTAGGCTGCAAGAAGCCAGGTCTGGCAGACAGATGAGGTGAGGAAAACCCAAGACCTGGGCAGTGCACGCACAAAATCTGAAGCCAGCGACATGCAAAGGGCAGCTCTAGAGGCAAGTCAAAGCAAGAGAGGCGATCCTGGACAGCCTGAGCCCAGCAAGGCAGGGTGGCCCCACAGGCCAGGAGAGAGGTGACAAATTCATAGGGTCTCAGTGAGGTGGCCTCTGAGCCCCAAAGAGAGGGATAGGTTTTACGCAAGCGGTGAGGCAGACAGTGCCAGGATGTGACCCTAACCAAGCCACCACTGGAGAAGGTCAGGAAGGACTGGGGAAGACTGCGGGAGAGATGCAGCAGCAGGACAGGAGATGAGACTGTGAAACTGAAACTAAACCATCAACCAGGGATGTAAAAAGGGAGCCAGAGTAGATATTCCCTTAGCAAGCCAGAAGAAAACAAGGTCAAAAGCAAGATTAAAAGAGTAAGATGAGGATGTAATTTAAAAAAAAAAAAAAAGAAAAAGAAAAGGACAAGGTTAGTGGAGATTTTGGTGAGCATCAATGAAAAACAAGGATTGAGGAATCTCTTGACGTGGCATCAGAGACAGATAAAAGTGTATTAACTTAGGACAGCCAGCTGCATCACTTAAGGGAAAAAGGGGCAGCCTGGCATACATCTTTGTGAAT